GCTGCTGCCGCCCCCGCTGCGGGCGGTGTGGTCAGACTCGCTGCCGCTGCCAGCCGACTTGCGGTCCTTCTCTCTGCCCAGAGCTCTCCTGCTGTTCTCGCTGTTGCTTCGGTTCGAGCCGCTGCTTTTGCTTCCTAAAGCCCACGAGTGAAAAGGACACACAGAAAAGCAGAATTAGCTCAGGTCCACGGCTGTCTCCCACATCAGCTCCTACCAAAACCTGCAGATCCGGGAATGACCATTGCAATGGCAACAATGATGACAAAACCAGGCCTGAACGTGCTGTTGGTGGCTTATGGGATTTAGCAACGACAATTGGTAGAACAAAGCTGACAAGGTTGTGCCATGCACAGGTACACGTAGACACCTTAGAGCTTGCACAGTGAAAGCAGCAGCTAGCCTAGAACTACTAGCTGAAAGCATCTGCTCCGCTGCCGCCCCACTGACTGGAGAGAAGGGAGGAGCAAAAAAGGAAGAAAGAAGCTGGCATTTGGGTTTTGACATAAGCAAACGAGGTTCAATCTAATTGCAACTGCATCTGTCTTTGCTACCTTCTACGGGCAAAGCTTTTCAAAAAGAAACCTATTTGCCATCTCTATCATCCTTGGTCACACTGGGCATATTACACCCAGGGCCAAATCACCTGAGGTTAACATGTCCTTTTGCTGGCTTCAGTGGGTAGATTCTTTTAAAATTCATCACTACAGTGTTCTGTTGTTGGAGAATTCTTCAAAAAACAGTTATTTGTTGAACTGCTCTATGACGAACCAGTAACATGCAGGATGTTCCCAGCAGAGGCCACTAAATCAACTCAGAAAAACAACGGACTGCTGCTGGTGTGTAAGCTGAGTCGTTGCTACACACAAGCTTCACTAAACTTCAGAACTTATTTTACATGAAAGTTAAAGGTCATGCTCTGTTACCATGAGAGGTAGGCTAGGATGGTGTCAGGAGACATTTCCAAGTTAATTATTCTTTAAAAAACCCCAATAAACCAACCCACAGAACATCTCATTAAGTTCATGCCATCTTAGTGCAAGATTGTCTTCCCAAAAAGGACTCCCAGCCAGCAGAACAGGGGACCAGCTTTTGAGTGTGAATGAGCCACTGAGTCACTGGGGTCACTGAAACGGGAAAACCAGAATGATTCTGAGCCGCTCTCTTCTTGAACTACAGATGATCATGACCTTCTGTCTGCTCCAGCCGATGTTTAGAGTGGGCAAATGGAAGAGACAGGAAAACTAGACTGACCTGGTGTGTATAGTTGAAAGGCTAGATTCCCCTGCAGAGTGCAAGAAAAACTGGGGGTAGATGGAAAACACAGAACACAAAATCACTGGACTTGAAGTTAATATTCTGAGCCTGGGACTCTGAAGTGGTATTTGCTGATTGGAACCCCTATCAGCTCTTTGCTCTGGGAAAAACACTGTCCTGCTTTGTGCCTCAGCTTTCTTCCATCTGTAAATGGAGATATCAACATGGGTTCAGCTGCCTCCACCAAAATACTACAAATGCTGCTAACTTGACACAACCGCAGCAGTGTTTGTTTCCACCTAAGGCCAACTTTAAACCTAAGTGTCATAAAATGGATTTAAAGAATCTGCATTTCAAATGCCTAGAAAAGCTGCACTCAGCATTGCCACAACACACCATCAGCCTTTACTCTCTGTTACTGCTGGACACCAAACTTCCACCCCCTAAAGCCACAGAGACTCCAGCTGCTTCATTTCATGAGAACAGAAGTTTCCACATGATTCCTTCTGGACAGGCGCAGGAGAGCCTCCAGAGACAGTGTATAGAGGCTCTGAAGACCCTTCTATTGTTCCTGTCCCAACAACTGACATCCCATGAGCTTGAACAAATCCATCCTTCCTACTTCTCTCATCTCTTCAGACGGTAACCTGATGATCTCTTACTATCTATCTGTACAGCAAGCAGCTACTAGAACAGGGATGTGACTTTGATCTAAACACTATAGTAAACAGAAGTTTTGCAGAGGAGCTGGTCCTCACACCAGTGCCATTCCCTACATCAAACCTGCCCAAGCCTTTAAAAATAACCTAAGCCCTGGGTACCACAAGCAGGGACATATGATGTGGCTCAGATGAAATAAGCAACAACCTAAATTGGAACAGAGCCTTGAACAGAACTGCAACATCATATAAAACTTTGCTAGATCTTCTCCTCCCCATCTGCGCTTGCCAGAACACATGTTCTCAGTCTGTCTCTTGACCCAAATCTTAGGCTTTTGTCTGCAATCATCAGCAAATACACTGCATTCATCTCAAAAACATGGGATATTCAGTGGGCTCTGGAGCAGTGCTCTTGTTCACCAGATGAATTCAGTTATGATCTAACATTGCACATAAAAGAGAGACTTCACAAGAAACCGAATTCTAACACTCTATATTGAGAGCTATCAATGCAACCTTGTGTCCCAGCACCCCTTAATACCTGCCTGAGACATCTGGACAGTGCTCAAGTGTCTTTCAGTAAATGAGCAGTTGAAGGGCACTGGTAGATAAATCCAATCCAGATGGATGACATCAGACTAATAAATTAGGAGCTGGAATTATTTATTCATTTATTTTATGAAGGGCAGTGAAGAGACTGGTGATAGGATTTTCCCGTCTGAGCTGACAGTGAGGTATCTGATGCCATTCCCTCTGTAGCTGCTGCAGCACAGTCACAAGGGGCCAGACAGGTTGATATGCTAATGCCACACTATTGGACTACTGTGCATTGAGACAGGTTGAGCGTCCAAGACAATTAAAAAGGAAAAAAAAAAAAAAAAATACAGCTAAACATTTGGGTCACAAGAGTCTAAATGATCATGCTGTGAATTATGGAGGCATTTGAAGCTTACCAATCCCCTAGAGTCAGCCATTCCTCTATGAATCCTTCAGTCTAATGCTTGCTCAGAACAAAACAAGGGAATAACAGTTACAAAACAAGAAACAACACAGAAGTGTAGTTTCCAGAAGAAGAACAAGGAAAACGTTGAAATCCTTCAAAATTAAACACCTTGGCGCCTTTCACAAGTCTCTCTTTAGCCAGTAACACAGGTCGCATGGATAAAATACCATACCTTTCCTATTCCAGCAGCAAAGATCTAATATTCTACTGCCCGCAGAACCTGCTGCCAAAAAAAATAATCGCATTCTTTCCAGCACAATCAGCTTGCAGTTCTAAAACCTCTGGATACCACTGTGAGCTTCCTCAGAGACACTTCTTATTTTCAGATAAGGTGGGAAGCAATAGTGCTAAAATCTTGTGAGCAAGTTCCTGTTATGAAATTCTTCTGTGCAATTTTGCAAAATCTAACTGGCTGCAGTAAACAGGAAGAAGTCACATCCAAGTTACTGGATGTTCACCACAAAAACACAGAGAATCCTCACCCTTTCTTTACTGGCATTTCCAAAAGCAAAACTCACTCTGGAAGTGATGTTAAAAAAAAAAAAAAAAAAAAAAAAAAAAAAAAAAAGGGGCCTTATTTAAACGGCAAAAAAAGGAAAAGGGCCTTATCTGTACAGGCAAAAAATGCATAATTTTTATTTACTAAGGTTTAAAAATGAACCACAAAATTATTCTAGGGCAGGAAAGGAGGAGGTCAGGTTTTTAATCCATGCAGTATTATCTTTTTTTCCCTGTCATATATTACAAGAGAGACTCTCCTCCCTGTGAGCAGTGTTTCAGCCCTGTAAACCATCTGGCTGGCCACCTCATGGATGTCTCACACAAGCAGAGACTGATTTTCTTTTTGTACTGAGCATTTAAGTGAAAGCCAAGGGAACCTTGGTTCTAGTCCCTGTCCCATCAGCAACGAAATGGCCTCATTTCTAGCAATATCAAGTGACTGCAGCCCCACTGTTGGTAATGGCTCTGACCTCTAAAAAGGGGGGCAATAGTTTATCTATTTTAACAGGGTGGACAATTGAGTCATTAATGTTGGCCTGATCAGCTTTATCTAAGCAGTGGTTTACCGTGTGATGCTGTTGGGTAGGAAAAGTACAGATGCCCATGCCACCATGGACTTGACAAATAGCTCAGCTCTAGTTCCCCACTGGCATTTTGCACGGGGTACAGAACTACAGCGTAACTATAAACAGCATGTATTCTATTCTACTGATTCAGTTAAAACATCACTGGCAGTTTCAATACAGAGCTGAAAGGCTAACCCACTCCATCACATACACAAACAGTCTTGATTAAGTGCAGTCGCATCAAATCCATGCAGGTAGCATACAAAACCACAAGACAGGAGCACAGACAGTACAAAGGAACTCAAGCAAATGGTCAGGGATAATGACAGCTGTAGAAACAAATACCAGATTAACCATCTTACCTTCGCTTTGCTGGCTCCCTGCACTGCCGCTACCATAGCTAAAGCCTGGGTCTTGGTATGCTGGTGGAAAACATGGAGGGGGCAGAGGATACTGATATGGGTATCCTTGGCCTAACGGCCAGGGAGCAGCAGGATGTGGAAGTGGAGCAAGGGTATCCTGATCCGAGGCTCCGCTAGAACCATTGTTAAGGTTCAGTGCAGCCATATCTGGAAAAGAGAGAAAAGATGAAGACTGTGTTTTTACCTAGCAGCTGACTCCTGTATATTAATAATGGCTGACACAGCACCTAGTGTGGTGAGGGACTAGAGGGACTCAGCCTCCAGAGTTCATTCAAAATACCACACACAGTAGGGCAGACATCAATATTTACCACTGAGCACCAAGGTACCTTTGCAGCATTTCCGTAAGTCAAGGAGGAATCATACCCATTTTTACAGCTTGGAAACTGAGTGTGACTGACAAGCAGGAAGTCTGTGGCATCACCAGAAATAAATCCTGCTTTCTTGAGCCTCAGAGCAATGCCCTATTTGATGAGTTCATCCTTCTCTTCCAAGTGGTCTAATGCTTAGTCTAACAGGAAATGTCAACCACTTGTCATGCAACTTCAGAATAACGGCCTGTTTGGAAAGCCCGCTTGTGAAATCTTGTAGGACTCTCCTCTGTGCATCCTGCAACCACAGAAAAGACAACACACATGCAGCTTTGCCCTTCACAGATGGGGAACTTACTGCCACAGAGGTCTCCAAAGACATAATAGCACTGTTCCGAGAAGGTGATTTTGTTCACAGTGTGCCTGAGGTAGCCATGTTTTAACATGCTGCTGGCATATTTTCTAGCCTCCCGTCGGTCTTTGAAGCCTTCCACGTGTGTGTAAAGCCAGTCAACCACATCTGCTCCTAAGATGAGAATAGGAAGAGGAGACACAGGATCATCCGAGCCTAACTGACCTTTTTTTGTTTTTTAATCTTCACATTATCAGATAGCCCACTAGTATTACTGTGCCAGGTACTGAATGCAAATATGAGTATGTAGCAATCTTGCTGCAAAGAGCTTAAAACATTATTTTCAAGACTCAGCCTAACTGCTAAATTAGTTACCATCAAACATCAATAAAGAAAGCAGAGAATTATCTTGCATCCAGTTGAACACTACATTAACAGTGACACTAAATACGCACACAGGAATTTTTATAGTTACACTGTTCAACCCTTTCTGAGTTGCAGCAACAAAAATGCCACGGGATTTACAGAACATAAGTGATTGGGAGAGTCATCTTCCTCAAGAGGCAGATGTTACATTGTCAAAAGACCGGGGTTCCAATCCCTTTCTCAGTGAGAAGTAACTACAATCTAGATTGACTAAATGTTAGCACAGTTCAGGTCACAGGACAGTCAAAATCAAAGGCAGACTAGTTGTGGTAATTTTAAATGTACTTAAGATGTTTTATTAAGGTTGTGTGGCTGTCTGGAACTGGAATTACAAGGATTGTTGCTCTGCTGAACTTGGGAAGGTTGCCAGAGCCACAAGTAGTAACATGGAAAACTTGAGATATAACAAGTAAGGGTTAAGGACCAGCTGTGTGTGGGCATGAGAAACGTGCAGTATTTTCGGCTGTCCAGGCTCAAACAAGACTATTAGTTATTTCCTGTCACACTTAGAGTTGTTCACAAATACCAAGTCAAGGAAATATAAGAGGTCATAGACAGGGAAAAAAAGTTTATATAGTTTCTTCAGCCTATTTCCAAAAAGCCACTGTTTTTTTTCTCCCCAGCATTCCTTTGATCTGCTTACCTATCACTGCATTGGAGATGGTAATTTTTAACCACATCCTGTCCCGGATTTCAAGGCCTGAGTCTGGTAGCTGCATAACCTTGACAATAGTAGCCATGTCACTCTTCACAGTTAAGGGAGATTCTTCTAATTCTAAAAGGAAGAAAGGTTACATGCTTCTTTGAAATGAATCAAGCCTGAAAAGAACTTCTCAGTTCCCAATCTGGATGAAACGTTTCAAGACACAGCTTTACCAACAGATGCAAAAAAAAGACACAAAGGTTCCCATATGCACCTCATCAATGGCATAAATTACAGCATTTGTACCAATTCTTCAGAGATTGTGCTCAGTGCAACCAGTTTAGTCACTGAGATGCTGAGTCCCTACGTGTCTTGACTTCACAAACCAGCTATAGATCAGCACTGCACTCTTTCAATCCACGCTGCATTGAGATTTGCAGAAAAGGAAACCCAAGGAGGTCTATGACCATTGCTTTCCATTTCAATTTGCCATGAACAGCCCCCACGCAGCCAACGGTTCGGTGCACTGTATGCAAAACTCTGTAGGACAAGGGGTTTTGGCTTGTTCTTTAACTTTCGATTTAATTGTCAGGAATAATACCCATCTGCATGGAGAAAGATGACGACCATGTCTCAATCAACCTCCATTTGTTTTTTTAAGATTTGGACATCAGCACAATTGGGGAGAATTGAAATTAGAAAAGCAAGCCTCCATCATCAGGATAAAGGCTAGTAGTTCCCTTCAAAAAAAAACTTTCCAGGATCCCAATGATGGCAGCATTACAAGTTAACAAGTCACCAGCATTACTTTGTCCTGCATCTTTCTTGCAGAACACTTAAAAAAACACTACTCCCAAATGCCTCAGCAGCCATCACTGCTCCATTCACACTCTTATGGGCAGAGCTGGCTTACCAGAGGCTCCATACTTTTCTGATCAATTTTTATAATAAAATCAGAACAGGGCTGAGATTCACCATACCCTGCTGAGGTGCCTACCGTAGGAGTCTAGTTTCTTTAGAAACTCCTTCTACATACACAGAGGCAAAGTGGCATCTAATATTGAAAGCCCAGCGGGGTGAATCTGGGTCCAAGAGCCTACCAGCCTTCTTATGATAGCGTGCAGAACTCAGTCGTCCTGTCTAAACATAATAAAACTATATTCTTTGGATACAACACCCAGTCCTCCTTCCTGCTCCCATCTTCACAGCCCTAGAAAATTCATGTCGAGCGTGTGTGTCCTGTGTTTGTAGTACAGACTCTCCTCCAGCAACCCTCCTCCCCTCCCTTCTCCCAGCTCCCCATAGCACCCACATTTCAAAAACACAAGGGAACCAATTTTGCCCTTTTCCAGCAACCCGAAATTTTGATAAAAGGTACAACAAGCATGAAACAATGAAAACTGAAAATGCTTCTTTCAATACATGCACTGCTAATATGCATGAAAATATCCCAGACCATCTATGCATGCAGTTTCAATACTTACAAAATTTGAACAAACAGTAAAATTTGGCTTTTGCTTTAAGTTAGTTTGGTTAGTGGCAAAAAGCAACATGTTTGTTTGGGGGGAAAAAAAAACCAAACAATATTAAAGTAAAGTATGTGGGGAGCAATAAATTGTATTTTCTTGGAGACCTGCGATAGGCATATAAAGAACACCACCGGCCAAATGATCATCAATATTTTCTAAGTCTGCTAGTTGCTGTACAACTATGAAGAATTCTAAGATGCATCTGGAATGCACCTACTTTGGTCTGAACTCAGTCAGCTGTGGGCCTGACTACCTGACCACCTGTACAGGTATGTGCAAAGCTGAAGAACAGCACAGACAGTAACTCCCTTCTGGGGAACCAAATCTACCGCAAAGCTCTTTCTCAGAGCTTCGGTTATTGGTTTTGAGTGGCATTTTTTTCCCATTAGCAGATCCTGGTAATAGAAGAGGTGTATGCTCCAGGAGAACAAAGTCCTACCATATGTAATACTACCACTGGCTTGTATCCTTATTCGAGTAAGGAAGTACACATTTGCCCAAACAAAAAGGCCCCAGGAAATTACGCGGTACCTCAGGCTGAATACTATTAAGCAGAAATAGTCTGCAGTCTCAATTCAAAATCTTCTGAAGTCCATGCAAGAGAGAAAGAGAACTTTCCAACAATGTCAATGGACTGCATTTTAAAACAGCAAGACTTTCAAGAAACACTGAAACACTTGAAGGTAATCTCGTGGAATGGGACAGCACTACTTTGCAGATAGGTGTCCTGTAGTGGCAGAACAGGGGCTGGAAAAAAATCTACCTTTAGCAGAGTAAACAAGGAGCAGGGTTTGCACTGACTGAGGCAGCAAGTCCAACACTCACAAACCACCGTGAGAGAATATTCTCCTGCATCAACCAGAACACTGCTGGAGAACAAGATACTTTTTAAAGCAATAATTGCTATAGAATCATAGAATCCTTTAGGCTGGAA